AGGCAATTCCTTGTCTCAAATCACCTTCCCATGCTCTTCACCCTGTACCCAAGCAGATTTTCCTGCCCAAGTCTCATCCAGACGAGGCGAGCAGTGCAGATCAAGGGCAGGAGCAGTTTCCCAGTGTGAGGAGTGTCACCCTCGCCGTGCAGCAGGGATGGGAGCAGTGTGTGGTGCTGTCACTGCTCTCAGCTGCAGTCACAGCCACTCAGACCCAGCAGTGTCATCCCTTGTGAGGCAGCTCAGCTTTGCAAGGCTCTGTTTACAGAGCAGCCTCAGAGCTGCTCTCTGTGCTGGCCAATCCTTCACATCTGTCTCCTCATGGATGGGATTTAACACACAGCACTCGAGAGCCAAGCTCCAATCGTCCATCCCCAGGTCAAGACAGTCCCTCTTCAACTTTAATTATTCTGCCTCTGATTCATTTTCTAAAATCTCTCTCTAGATTAAAAAACAAAACCAAAAAACCTTAGAGAAATTGATAATAATCGCTCAGAAATCATCTGTCCCCTGCAGTCATCTGTTATTGTTTGCAGAACACGGTGATACTCTCAAAGAGGAAGCACAGCAGCTATCAATTATTTCATCTACCTCATAAGATCAATTTTATTTAAGAATTTCAGTGACATCTCCATGCCTGTGTAGCCTCCAAGATACAGTGGCAGTAATAAGAGAGAGATATTAAAAAATACAAAAAATACAGAGAGAAACAAGCTCCAAAGCAGACAGCAGAGTGTGACAAATCCATTTCCATCACGTTCCTTCCCTGCACTCTGGGGCTGGATGGCTCCCAGGGGAGTTTGCAGGGCAGCAGCCTCCACTCAAGCTGCAAAATGTGAAATCTCTTCTCAAATCTGTCCAGACATCCCGAGGGAAATAAGTGCTGGATCCATCCTGTTTTCAGTGCTGCACAGGCCAGAGACAGTGTTAATAATAAAGTCTGAGGCCGTGCAGGAAACCATAAATGTGACAAGTGGCAGGGAGCTCTGAGAGTCTCAGTGTTTACTCTGCCTGTCTAAATTCTGCTTAGTTTTAAAGACATAATATTTTTCAAGCTTGGTTTTTGCCTTTGAGTCACACAAACAGAAAGAACCCAACCCAAAACTATAGGAAGAGGAATCAATTTTAGGATTAAACCATGGAAAGATGGACTCAGTGCTGGGCAAGTAAAAATCCTACAGCTGCTTTTACCATCTGCTGGTGATGGCACAGGGGTGTGGTGAAACACAATTTAAGCATTCATAAAAGTGCCATAAATTCTAAGAAGTTTTGCTAAATCCAGTGAAACTTTCCAAAGTTCTCTTGCTGTAATGAAAATGTATTTTAACCTTTTCAGGGAGGTGTCAAAATTTGGCTCTGTACATTTATTTCCTCCACATTCTTACTGATTCTTGTAATAACCAAGTGAACTTTGTGTCAGACAAACCTCAGCAATAGGATGAAAGATTCTTCTCTAATTCTGTGAAATTTCCACATTCTTAACAAGGACTTTCCCAGAACTGGAGAAATCTTGATGATGGAGCAGTTTATAACAGGAGTCATTGCTTTGAGATGCTGGAACTGGTGATGATTAAAGAGCATCAGAAAAATCCATCAGTTCTCTGAAGCCAAGGACTGCTGCTCCCAAAGAATCATTTTCTGGCAGCACCATCTTGTGGTTTGCTGCAGTTCATAAATTTTCAATTTACACCAGCCATTCTCTAACCCTAACCTTTACAGGACGCTGTAAGACTTGTTATCCACTATGGAATCCTTCCAGGCACTGAAAACAACACCAAATCTTCTCACGTGGCTGGTTGGAGCACTGCTGGGGATACAGAGCCCAAAGTTTGCTCCAAATCCCTCACTGAGCTATGGGAATGCACACTCCAAGCAGCCCAGCTCCTTTTTACAAGAAATTCCTTTTTTAAAAATTCCTTTTCACAAGGAATTTTGGCTGCAGCTTCGTGCTACGACCCCAGCACAGCGTGTGTGGCTGCTCCCAGCTGAGCTGTGGGTTTGGGCTGGTTTGGGTCACACCTCATGCAGGTGATGAGGATGTCATGGTCACTTGAGAGGGTTGGGATCAGGTAAAGGTTCTTCACCCAGAGGGTGAAAGTTTCTGGTGACCATAGACCTGAGGGAACGGCTGGAGCTGTGCCAGGGCAGGTTTAGGTTGGATTTTGGGAAAGGTTCATCCCCCACAGGGTGTTGGGCACTGACCAGGGAATGGGCACAGCCCCAAGAGCTCCACGAGGGTTTGGACAACACTCCCAGGGATGCACAGGGTGGGATTTTGGGGTGTCTATGCAGGGCTGGGGGCTGGACTGGATGATTCCTGTGGGTCCTTTCCAAATCAGGATATTCCATGATTCCACGGCTGTCCTCAGGCTGGGGCAGAGGATTGCCAGCATGGAGAAAAATCACTGTACTGCAGGAGAGGAGCCAGGGGAGGCAGAAAGGCTGGGCAAAGGGAAAAGGACCGGGGAAGGACCGGGAAAAGGGCTGGGGACAGGGGAAGGAGTGGAGGAAGGGCAAGGGGAGGATCGGGAGAAGGGGGAAGAACTGAGGAAGGGCTGGAAGAACGACCAGGAAGAACCGGGGGAAGGACCGGGGGAAGGACCGGGGGAAGGACCGGGGGAAGAACCGGGGGAAGGACCGGGAAGGCTCCGGGGCAAGATCAGAGGAAGAACCAGGGGAAGAACTGGGTGAAGAACCGGGGAAAAGGCTGGAGGAAGGAGTAAAGGAAGGGCCAGGAAGGCTTGGGAGAAGGATCAGAGGAAGAACCGGGGGAAGGATCCGAGGAAGCACCGGGAATGCTCGGGGGCAGGACCGGAGGAAGCACCGGGAGAAGGACCGGGAAGCTCAGGGGCAGAATCAGAGGAAGCAGCGGGGGAAGGTCCGAAGGAAACACCGGGAAGCTGAGGGGCAAGAATGGAGGAAGCAGCGGGGAAAGGTCCGCAGGAAGCACCCGGAAGGCTCTGGAGAATTAGAGGAAGACCTGGGCAAAGGACCGGAGGAAGAACCCGGGGGAAAGGCTGGAGGAAGGACCAGAGGAAGGGCAAAAGGAAGGACCGGGAAGGTAGAGGGCAGGATCAGAGGAAGGATCGGAGGAAGCAGCGGAGAAAGGTCCACAGGAAGCTGCGGGAAGCTCGGGGGCAGGACCAGAGGAAACAGAGAGGGAAGGACCAGAGGAAGCAGCGGGAAGCTCAGGGGCAAGAGCGGAGGAAGCAGCGGGGACAGGACAGCAAGAAGCAGCGGGAAGGCTCGGGGATAGGACCGGAGGAAGCAGAGGGGGAAGGACCGGAGGAAGCAGCGGGAAGGCTCGGGGGAAAGATCAGAAGAAGCAGCACGGGAAGGTCTGAAGGAAGCACCGGGAAGCTCAGGGGGCAGGACCGCAGGAAGCAGAGGGAAGGCTCGGGAATAGGACGGCAGGAAGCAGAGGGAAGCTCGGGAATAGGACGGCAGGAAGCAGAGGGAAGCTCCGGGGCAGGACCGGAGGAGGCAGAGCAGAGCTCGGGTCCGCCCCGGAAGGCGCCGGGCCGCAGCCATGGTGGTGCTGAGCGCGGCGCGCTGGGTGCGGAGCCGCCTCTCGGACCGGTTCTGGAGGGTGCAGGAGGTGCTCAAGTACGCTCGGGTGAGTGCTGGGTCACCCCTGGGTCACCTCTGGGTCACCTCTGGGTCACCCCAGCCCGGCCCTGTGCCCGCATCCCCCTGCCCGCAGCCCCAGCACTGCCGTGCCTTGTGCCCCGTGCGGGATCCCAAAGCCGGGGATGCTCCTGGATCCTCCTGGATCCTTCTGGATGCTCCTGGATCCTCCTGGATCCTCCTGGATGGTCCTGGATCCTCCTGGATCCTTCTGGATGCTCCTGGATGCTCCTGGATCCTTCTGGATGCTCCTGGATCCTTCTGGATGCTCCTGGATCCTTCTGGATGCTCCTGGATCCCAGGGCTTGGAGTAGCCTGGGACAGTGAGAGGTGTCCTTGCCCACGGCACTGGGTGGTCTTGGAGGTCCCTTTTCCACCCAGAATTCTGCGGTTCTGTGGTTGACTCGTGCTATAAATTGATTTGTATTTAATGAGACGCAGCGGGCTGGAGGCTGTGCTGGTTGTGTTTCCTTCTTGAGTGTTTTTTCTTTGTTTTACTGGGCAGAGAAGTTGGGGAATAAAATTGACCTTGTACTCAAGTGCATTTTGAAATGGGATTTCTACTGAAGTTCAAGCTCCTGTGCTGAGGATAGGGAAGAACATTTCTCAAGGGCATCCTAGGTAGTACATCTTGCTGTAATACTGAGATAGAAAAAGTTGAAAGAAGTGAAAATATTTTGGTTTTGTAGCACCAAAGCTGCCCACAGTTACAGTTATTTCTGGTGCAGAACTGGTTGCTTTTTCCTGTATTGTGTTAGGTGGATGTCAGAAAACCAATTTAATTTTTTTTTTTCTGTTTGGGCAACTCTTTGACAAATCGAAGGCTCCTGCTCCATTCCTGTGTTCATACTGACACAACTGAGGGGAGCTCAGGAATGAGAATAAATATGTGAATTCAGCACTGACCATGATTTTGTGATTACCTGAACCACAGAACCACAGCCCAAAGTGAGGCCTGGTTTTGTGAGATTTTCCCACCCTTCTCCATCTCCTCACCTTCAGGTTTTCCCCAATAAAAACCAAGGAAAGAATATTTTCATTATGTGCCAGCTGAAGGCTTAAGAGCTGCTTGTGAAGAGTCAGTGATCCTTGTTATGCAGAGCTACGAATGCAAATGAGCTTTATTATTATTTTATCTTTAAATCTAATTAAATAAGACCATCCTGGGTGGGTTTTTTTTCAGCATTTTCGTGGCAGGAAGAACCGCTGCTACAAGCTGGCAGTGAAGAGCGTCCGCAGGGCTTTTGTGAGATCCACCAAGGCCAGGAGGGAGAAGAAGAGATTCCTCAGAGCGGTAAAGAGCAAAATGTTGGGTGGAAAAATCTAGATGGGAGCAAGGCAGAAGTGAAACAGCTGCTTTTCCTTACTGGGGGGTGGAAAAGTGGATGAAAAGTAGGAAAAAATGGGTGAAAAGTGGATGAAAAGTAGGAAAAAGTGGGTGAAAAATAGGAAAAAGTAGGTTGAAAAGTGGTTTGAAAAGTGGGTGAAAAGTAGGAGTTTAAGGCAGCATTGTCCTGGGTCATGTTCCTGTAGGTCCCTTCCAGCTCAGGATATTCCATGATCCTATGAAAATATTGTTTTTAGCAAGTGTGAGTAGACCAGCGTGGCGAAGGGTTTGCTTTTTTTCAAGTATTTTGCCATGCAATATATTGATTTTTACACTTTCAGCTCTGGATCACAAGGATTGAAGCAGCTTCCCTTGAACATGGTTTGAAGTACCCAGCTTTCATAAGCAACCTGGTCAAGGTAAGGATGTGGTTTGGAGGATAATTACTTACTAATTAGAGTGATGAAAGGCCTTCTGCTTGTGAAAGCAGTTTCCTCCACTTCAGGAACTCAGTTCTGCCCTAACCTTGTTTCTCTTTTCTATATGGATTATTCCCTTTCATCCTGGTGAAAATTGTGGCTCTACTTCATGCTCTGTCCCCAAAACTTGGGAATGAGACTTTTAAAATGCTTTTTTTGTGGGCATTCAGTGACAGCTGCTTTTCCTTTTACTTCGAAAAATTTAAAAACACAAAGCTTGGATTAGCAAAAAGCCCCCAAACCTAAGAAATCCTTATTATTTTCACTATAATTGTGATTTGGTGAGCGTGGAGAGTGCAGAGACTTGGTGCCGTTGTCACCTGTTTTTAAAACATGCTGGGAATTTGTTTCAATTTGTTGATTCTGTTTTGATTTGTTCGAGCTGAAGCAGATGCCATGGATTAACCTGGAACATGTGGTCTTGAGCAAAATTAGATTTTTTCTTCAGTTCTTGGTTTCTACCAGAAAAACTTCAAAGAAAGTCAGTAAATAATTTTTACCTGGTGTGTTAATGAGACATCCATGGCTAGGGAATGTCTGACAGTCTTTAACAGCTCCAAATTGCACAGGGTAAAAAAAAAGTTAATCTGCCTTAAGACCTCAGGTCTTAAGCCTTAAGAGTGTTTAATGATAGTTAATGAAGAGTGTTTATATAAACAGTCAAAAGTGTTCATTATATTTAATAAAGAGAGATTAACCATTGCAGTGTTGTTCCTAAAATTCCTAACCAATAATTTTTTTTTGCCTTTAGTCCCAGGTGGAGCTGAACAGGAAAGTTCTGGCTGACTTGGCTATTTATGAACCAAAGACATTTAAATCCCTGGCAGCTTTAGCCCAGAGGAGGAGACAGGAAGGGTTCCTGGCTGCCCTGGGAGATGGAAAAGAGCCAGAGGGAATATTTTCACGTATTGTGCACCACCACTATTGATATCAGAGTCTGTGTATGTGTTTTAGAAGCAGGAGATTTGATTGTGAAACAAACCTGCTGTGGAGCTGCTGCTGAAATGGAAAATGTGGAACAAATCCTCTAAGGATCGTGTGGGTGTGAAGCTTCTCCTTGATTGATTCCCTGCGTTGTTGTCACTGAAAGCTGTTAAATTAAAAGCACACTTCAAGGTTAGCAGTCAGGCCCTACAGTGACTTAATAAAGGTTTTTTTTTTTTTGGTAACTGCTAGTAGAAAAAAAAAAAACCAAGAATTTGTGTGGTGAATTCTGGCGCTGAACAGGGAAAACACAGCTGGGATGGGGAGGAGATGTTGGCCCTCACACGTGGACCCCGACTGTTAAGGATACATAGTTTGTACTTTTAAGGACTTAATAAAGACTTTTTTTTATTGATAACTGCAACGGGGAAACAATTTGTGTTAATTTTGGCACTTCATTGAGAAAATACAGCCAGGGGATGGAGGGAAGGCAGGATGTCGACCGTCACACAGTCCCTGTATTAAGGACGCACATAAGAACTTAATAAAGGCATTTTTTTGGTAGTTGCTGGGGAGAAACAATTTTTGTGATTAATTCTGACCCCGCAGAGCAAAAAACCAGCCCGGAGTGTGAGGGAGATGTCAGTCCTCAGACTGGCGGCCCCCAAATGAAGGATATACATAGCCTGTTGTATTAAGGACTTGATAATAAACGTATTTTTGTTGATAACTGCTACGAGGAAACCATTTGTGTGATGAAATTCTAGCGCTGCACGGGGAAAACCCCGCCGGGGTGGGGAGGGGTATGTCGGCCCTCACACACAAACCTCGGTGGGCTTCAAGTTAAGGACACACATAATTGTTTTTTCACGGAGTTAAAGAAGATATAGAACTGGATAAACTGCGTTGCAGCCCCCATCACGCCGCGTCCCGGGGCGGCCCCGGCGCTGAGGGCTCTGAGGGCGCCGCGGCCCCGCCCTGTCCGGATTCCCGACCGTTGCGTCACCGCGCCGCGCGCGGCCCGGGCGGCGTCCTGCGTCACGGCTCCTCGGCCAATCAGCGACCGCGGTGCCGCGGCGCTCCACCAATCGGCTTCGGGCGGATGCGAGAAGGGGGGGAAGGAGAAGGAGCGCGGAGCCAGCGAGGCGGCGGCACAAAATGGCGGCGGCGGTGGGAGGCGGCGGCACCGCGGGCCCTCAGGCGGCCGGCGCGGCTCCCGCTCCGGTGCCGGGTCCCGGCGCGGTGTTAATCGGCGACCGGCTGTACTCGGGTGTGCTGATTACGCTGGAGAACTGCCTGCTGCCCGAGCACACGCTGCGCTTCACGCCGTCCATGAGCAGCGGCCTGGACCCCGACACCGAGACCGAGCTGCGCGTCACCGGCTGCGAGCTCATCCAGGCGGCCGGGATCCTGCTGCGGCTGCCGCAGGTGGGGCTGGGCGTGATTTGGGAGGGGGCCGCGACTCAGCGGGGCCTTCTTTGTGCTGGCCTCGATGTCCCGGTTACCGGCCGGAGAAGCCCCGGGGCCGCCCCGCAGTTACCGGCCGGGTAGGCCGCGGCACCGCCCGGTACTCGGGGCTCGTTCCGGGACTCGTTCCGGGCCTTTCCCGGCCGCTGGGGGCCGGAAGCGGCTGATGGAAGCGGCTGATGGCAGCGCCTTCCTGCGCCGCCCCCGTGTGAGGATCGGGGATTTCACAAAGCCGGATTTCTGAGGGCTCCTCTGGAGGCGTGGTGACCTCGGGAACGTTTTGTTTCCCGGAGATCTTTAGGCCAAACAGTCTCGTTGCTTCCTGAGCGTAAAACTTTCCACGTGCCTTCCAGCTACCGAGCCTTAGCATATGCAAATCATGACGCTGTTAAATTCCCCCTCACTTTCCACGCCCAAAAAGCTATTTTTTTTTCTGGCGTACTTTCGTAACTTTCAATTTTGCTTGGTTTAGATTTTTTTCCTTTTGTTTTTTTTTTAATTTATTCAAATGGGAGCATACGTTCACATTTTTTATTAAAGAAAATTGGGATTTGTTGTCTGTATTTGACTTGTAGGCAGGATTTTAGGCGTTGATAACATTTTGGGCAACTTAATTTCTTAAGTAGCAATTCTAGTTTTGTTTAGATACCACTGAACTTCTTCCCATGCTTAATTAATCTTCTGGGTCTTAAATGTATTAAAATTTTTCCTTGTTCATGTCTGTTGTGATAATTTTTTTAGGTGGCTATGGCTACAGGTCAGGTGCTATTCCAGCGGTTTTTTTATACCAAGTCTTTTGTGAAGCATTCCATGGAGGTAAGAAGGCATTAAATGACATTTGTTGCCATAATTATCTTCTAATCTCTCTTGGCAAGTTGTCATCTGAGATGTGATCAATGTTAGGAACTAGTCTGGATATTATAGAGAAATGTGATTTTACAAAGCTATTTAATAGTGGCTTTAGTCAAATATTTGGAATTTTCTTGTTTTACCAAATTTTTTTTTCCTCGTTATTCCTCCTTAAGCTGTTGGAGGAGCTCAATTCTTGAAGTGGAGCTGATAAATTATATACAATATTATATTTTCTGCTTATTTTTCAGCATGTGTCCATGGCCTGTGTCCATCTGGCATCCAAAATTGAGGAAGCCCCCAGACGCATTCGGGATGTGATCAATGTGTTCCATCGCCTCAGACACCTGAGGGAGAAAAAGTAAGCTGAGAATTCAGAATAATCTCAACCAGCTGTGTTGTGTTTTAATTATTCAACTTCACAACAGCACCATTCCCTGTTTCATAAATCAGGGAATATTTTGAAGGGATCTCATGAAGTGAGCTGGTCCATTTTAATAAATAATTTTGATGTTACAAAGAGTGATACTTTTAATTTTTGCCCAACTGAACCTGAATTTCCCTAAGGTTTAGATGATCATCTTGTGAGTTTGACGTTGTCTTGCAGAAAACCTGTGCCTCTAATATTGGATCAAGAATATGTGAACTTGAAGAATCAAATAATAAAGGCAGAAAGAAGAGTGTTGAAGGAGTTGGGATTTTGTGTTCACGTGAAGCACCCTCATAAGGTTTGTACATTATAAATTCACTATATAACCAATGTTTGATGTTCTGGAAAGCTTTGAGGAGGTTGCCTGGAAGCTCTGTGGACTGCACATGATGATCAGTGAATTCAGTGAGATTAGTTTCTTACCATCCTGATGTTTTCTTTCTCATTTAAGAGGCTCTTACTAATTGTTCTCGTGTCAGTGCTGAGTGACGGCGAGGTGGCTGCAGGTGCTCAGTATTCCTGGAAGGCAGATTGCATCAGTAGGTAGCTTTGGTGGTGGAAAACATCACCTGGACTTAGATCCCCAAGCAGGGAGCAATTTGGAGGCCTGGGGTTGTCCTGATCACTCCTGGTGAGAACCTGCTGAGGTATTAAAGCTCTGTGAGCCAGTTCAGTGCTTGGAGTGGCTTAAAACCAGGCTCAGGCTTGGCTAGAGATGAAACAAGGCTCAATATTAACAAGTGTCAGAGTGGATGATGCTTGAAAGATGCAATTACCTCAAATGTTTAAATTGTGCCTTAACTGGTAAAAGAACTTCTGTTTCTGTGCCAACACAATTTGGGATCTTGCTCTTTTCCCCCTCTAAAAAACTCCTGTTCAGAGCCTTCTTTTTGAGCCTCCTGACATTCAGAATTTCCTCTTGTCACCCACCCCAGAGGGCAGCTGCAGTTTGTTAATTGGGGTGAATTTTTCCATTTTTCTTCCTCTCTGCAGCCTTGTTTTCATTCCAAACCTAAGAAAAAACCCTCAGAACTGAACAGACCATGGCACAGTGTTAGATCTGTTCTCTGCAAGCACTGCCAACTTCCCTCACTGCTGATTGCACTGAGCAGCTTTTTCTCCCAGGCTGCAGCTAAAAAAGGATTTGTGAGGTGTGTAGGAGAACAAAATCAATCCACCAAATCCCTAAATCAAAACCAATCCAGCAAATCCTTTAATCAAAGCCAGGTGAAGACAAGACCTGGCTGAGTAGCAGGACAGAAGTTCAGAGCTGGTGTGGATAAACACTGGGGATGGTGCAAACACTTCATGTGGAGTGTTTTAAACCTTGAAAGAGGATCACAGATGCCTCATGGATGTCCCTCTGAAATAATCAGGTGGCTCTCCAGATGCTTGTTAATAACTCAATAACCCATATCTTCCAGATAATCGTTATGTACCTTCAGGTATTAGAATGTGAACGTAACCAACACCTGGTCCAGACCTCATGGTAAGTTGATTTTCTTTGTTCTAAGAGACCAGAAGGGGCAGTAGCAGAAATATGTCACTTGAGGCACTGGGCAGCATTGCTCAGCAGTGCTTGGGGTCACCCCAGACAGCTCCACTGTCCTTGGTGTGCCCCAAACTCCTTCCCAAATGTTGAGCGGCCTCTTAAGTTCGAGGCAGTGTTTTAATGGTAAGGTAGCTTTCCACCCTGACTTCTCACTTCCCTCCTCTCTGCTCTCACTTTCCAGCTGAAGGGAAAAGCTTGGGTGGGTTTAGAGTTGTTCCCTTTGGTTCTTCTGCAGGGAAAACTTGGGTGTAATTCCAGTCTGTTCCCAGTGCTGGGAAATGGCTTTTCCCAGGGCCTGAGCTTGATTCCAGATGTATCAAAACCTCAGCACAGATAAATTCCTTTTATCTATGTGGAAAGTGCAAGATGTCAGCTTCTAAGACTGGATAGATGGATAGCCTGGATTCATATTTGCCAAGAAATGTTCTGTGCCTTATTGCTGTCATTTAATAAATATTTGCTTGGGGGTGGGAAGCTTCTGTAAAATTCCACACCTTAAACTTTACCAAATAATGCTTTTTAAACCATAATGCTTTTATTAACAATACCAATGGTCTAAAAGAAACACCTTTTAGTGAATCCAAATATCATATTTCTGCTGACTGAACTGTCTGGTACTGTGACCTGTGTGTAGAGAACCAGTTTTGACTTTTCTTTTCTGTACTCTTTTGATCAAAGGGTAGCCTCTGAGGGTAAGTGACTAAGACTTCTCCTCTGCTGCCCATGGTGCAGGGATAGCTGCCGTCTTCAGTCAACCCAAAGCTCTCCAAAGAGAAGGCTGGCTCTAGACAGGTGGTATATACATGATAGTAGAATAACTGGCCAACTGCTTCTTGTGCTTCTATTTTTATTTTTTTTTTTTTACTCTGCGTTTTTTTGTATATTTGATAACCTGAGCGTTGAAGTTTTGAAATGATTTTTTTTCTTTTTTTAAATGTTCTATTTCTCTTAACTGTTATAATGTGATGTGTTTTTTATATGATAAAGCAAATTAAGGTGGGGTTTAAATCTTAAAAAGGGATGAATTAACAACAAGAAAAAAAAAAATGAATAGTTTTCGTTTGTAAACTAGTACATGTGTGAAGCTTGGAGACAAAATGTGATATTTAGAGACACTTCCCAGAAGCATTGCATGGAGCAGTGGAATGGGAGTTCTGGACTGCCAGGAATGTGCTGGTTATGGAAGGAGGGGAGGGAGGGAATTACCCCACTTGAGAAGGGGGTCAGATGTTACAATAACACATCTCTGTCCTGGTGTTTGTTGCTTCCAGTACCCAAAAACTGGTGGGTATCCGGTATAATTGGTTTTTGAAATGTGCATTTTTACAACATTACCTTTTTCTTAAGCTATTGTGACAAGGATTCATTTCCTCCTGTGTCTGACTGAGCCCACAGGGAGGATGAGCAGAGGCCAAACTTGGAAGCTGGCATGGTTCTCAATTGAGCAAATCAGAAAAAAAAAAAAAAAAAAAAAAAAAATCTTTGTAGCTTCCAGATGTTCGAAGCCCCCCTTTCCTTTATCACTTCTTTGACCAAAAGATTTGTGCTCTCTTTGTAGTGGGACAAGAACAGAGATTTAGAAGTTCCTTTCCCCCAGAAAGATGAGCTGTCAGTGCTGCTTTTTTGGGGCAGCAGTTGCTGTTTGTGTAAACGACAATTGAGGAGAGCTGGGGCAGGTGGGAGCTGGAAACTCCTGGAATTACAATTCCTCCTCTCTGTCCCTGTAAATGTTGCAGATGCTTGGCCTGTGGTCTCTGCTTTGGATATCTTGGGGGTCAGTGAATCCTTGTATACTGGGTACCCACGTGGTTAATTATTACTTTCAAGTATTATTTTAAGGACTTTTATTGTGTATGGTTTTAGTTTTTCTCCATCTGATATTTTATGTGCTCCCAAATCTAGATCTTCTAAAGCACATCAGCTGACAGATTCACAGGAATTTACTTTGTATATTTAAGATTTAACAACATAATGCTTAAGTGTACTGACTGGAATATGTGCAATATTTTACAGTTTTCTCATTCTGTGAATATTCATTTTAAGCAACCTTACTGAAATGGGACAATTTGGAAACCTTATTTCATGTGCCAAAGAGGAGATGTGCCTGAATACTGACTGTTCTCCTGAACTGATGTTCCCAAACACCCTGATTTCTCCTATGGCTGACTTTTTTGCATCAAAAAGAATTCTGTTCTGGATGGAAATGGACCCTTGAATCCCACTGGAAGTTGACAATGCTGAAGAGGATTGCATTTCATGGGAGAACTGCTCCAGGAGCTGCAGCTTTTACCAGACACCTGCTTCTGCCCTATTGCAGGGGAATGTGAACCCTAAAATTCCCTAACTGAGTATTTCTGAGCATACTGTATGTTGTCTTGATGAAAATAACTTGTTTATTGCATGAGAGCAGGCCAGTAGAGATCCAGCAGCAAAAGTGAAGTTAAAATTGGTTCTCTTCTCACCACTGAATTTTCAGCAGTCAGACTTTTTCTGTCACACATCCCTCCCTTTGAGGGATTTATTTTAGTTATTTCTTTTATTTTTGTTGTAGTAAAATCATTGAGCTTCTCTTTAGATTTCCAGGAATATAATATTGAAGTCTAGTAACTGAATGCAGAAAAGAAATAGCCCTTATAGAAGTAAAACCAAGTCAAAAACCCAAAATAAAAACCCCAAAGAGCTTTGCAGTGCCTTTCAACCTCCTGCTCTCCTGTTTTTCAGGAACTACATGAACGACAGCCTGAGAACAGATGTCTTTGTGAGGTTCCAGCCAGAAAGCATTGCCTGTGCCTGCATTTACCTGGCAGCCAGGACACTGGAGGTGAGCCACACTTCCATGGATTTGTTTGGTTTTTTGTTGGTTTTTTTTTGGTTTTTTTTTCCAAGCCTTTTAACAGGAGGTGAAATCTGAGCTTTGTTTGTCTCTCTCTCTCTCCTTTTCAGATCCCACTTCCAAATCGCCCACATTGGTTTTTACTGTTTGGAGCAACGGAGGAAGAAATTCAAGAAATCTGCTTGAAAATCTTGCAGCTCTACACAAGAAAAAAGGTTTGGTTCTTTTTCATGTTGGGAGCCCTCAGTAAAGGCTGCAGCTCAGAGCAGGAGTTGCAAAATTTGACCCCGTTTGAAACCACAGCTGCAAGCCTGGAAGTGAACAAAGAGCAGTCACTGTCTGGGACTCGTTGGATTTTCATTGCCCTCCCTGAGAGTGAGTAACCAGGAAATTCAGCTCTAACAGGCAGTGCTCCTGTGTTCACAGGTGGATTTATCTGATCTGGAAAGTAAAATAGAAAAGAAGAAATTAGCTATTGAAGAGGCAAAAGCACAAGCTAAAGGTCTGGTACCTGAGGGAGTTCCGAGCTTGGATAACACATCGGGATTTTCCCCTATCCCAAAAAATGGTAAATAGTGGATAACTAATTTTTAATAACTCTTTTACATCTTTCATGTATATTTACCCTTTTGGGAAGTATTTATAAGTGTGGTTTGGGGTTTGTTGGGGATTTTTTAAGATGGCTTCTAGCACTACTCAACTGGCAGGGTTTGAATAGCATTGTAACTTTGTGACTCCTTGAATCAGATAAAAGCTAAAATCAAATTAGTCTGAAATTAAGACTAGTTTAAACCCATATAGGCCAGGGGCTTGCTTTTATGTGGATTTGGCAATAAACCCAAATCCTTGCCACTGGCATGTTGTGCTAAAGCAATATTGAAGCAGAGGTGCCCTGGCAAGGGTGGCAACATTTTGGGATGTTGGGTGTGGAATTTGTTGGTTGAAAATTTCCAGTCTGGTGCAGTTCTCACCTAGAAGACAACATTCTCCATCTTCCCCAGTTACCTTTCAGACAATGCTGAATAATTGGCAAGGAAAGGAGGGTGGTTTGCTGCCTTTTCTTGCAGTTACTTCAATACTTTGGCAGAAACGTCTCAGATGAATTTCTGCCTTCTGTGAACTTGTTGAGATCTGCTTGTGGGTGTGCAGAGCACAGCTGTGCAGCTCTGCTTGGTGCAGACGTGGGGTGAGGAGAGGCTCCAGTCCTTGCAGGTACTTTCCAAAGAGGTAACAAAGGCTTCTCCTTGCAGAGTCTCCAAAAGAGGTTAAAGGAAATAAACCTTCACCACTACCTGTGCAGGCCATGAAGAATGCTAAGAGGAAAACAGAGGGAGCCAAGAGAACCAGCTCCAACAGCCCAGTAAATGGGTAAGGTTTGAGAAGGAAGCAGCTGATTTTCCCCCATGAGTACCTGAAACAACACAACTGAGTGTTCATTGTCCTTGACAGTGTCCAGAAAGGAAGAGAGAGCAGAAGTCGAAGTGGAAGCAGAGATCAGAGTTACTCGAGGTCACCATCGAGGTCTGCATCCCCTAAGCACAGGTAGGAGTCGCTCCCCAGTCACTCCCAGTGGCTCCCCAGTCGCTCCCCAGTTTCCCAGTGCCAGCTTTGCTAGTTCATCACCAGGAGGCTGAGGTGACCCAGCAGTGTGTGCTGTTAAACTCCAGAGTAACTCCAGGCGTGGCTGCTCACAGTAACTGTAACTGAAGCTCGAGGAACGGGATAAGAGTTCCTAAAAGTCAGTATTTTTACAGTAGCCAGATGGAAGTTTAGAATACAAGATGAGTTTTCACGGGGTACTAAACAACAAAATACAGGACGAAATTCTTAAAACTGAAGAAAATGATGTTTGCTGTCCTTTGTTGTGCAGGAAAAGCGAGAGTTACTCCACATCCAGCGGCTCCAAATCGCAGAGCCGCTCGCGGAGCCGCAGCGATTCCCCCCCGAGGCAGTTCAACCACAGCTCTGCCTACAAGGGCTCCAAGGTGCGCAGCTACAAGAAATCCAAGGACTACAAAGACAAATACTCGGCTCACAAAGCGCGCAAGTCCCGCAGCCGCAGCTCATCGCGCTCCCGCAGCCGCTCCCGCGAGCGCTCCGACCACTCGGGCAAGTACAAGAAGAAAAGTCACTACTACAGGAACCAGCGGCACGAGCGCTCCCGCTCCTACGAGCGCGCCGGGCACCGCTACGAGAGAGACAGGGAGAGAGACCGCGAGAGAGAGCACCCCGGGCACAGCCACAGCCGCCACCGCCGCTGACAGACACACAGACACA